ATGGCCTCCTTTTCAGCCTTCTTCCTGGCCCAGGGGGTGATCTTCTCCCCCTCAATGTGCCGGCGGAACATAGCGTCCACATTTCCCTTGGTGACATTATCCTCCCGCTTGCGCTTTCGGTCTTTGGGGTTCGGCTTGGATGATTTGTCATTTGTCTTTTCAGGAGCAGGCTCACTCTGCTGCTTGAGAGCAGAGTTCTCGAGCGACCAACCCGGTACAGCGAACATGCTTGCGATAGGTTGCCTTTGGAAAATGGTTGATTATTGTTCTGCCCGGCCGTGCATCTCTAAAATTTTCTGGCAAAAAAAGGCGGAGACGATCAGTCCTCGGGGGGTTCTGCCGCCCGTCTCAAGGGCGGTGAGTGCTGTGTTTGTCTTGTTTGTCTTGTCGCTTCCATCAGGCTTTCGAGAAGTGTCTCGGGCACTACGGTGATTTGTCTTATTACTCGTGGCGCTGATTGCTGGATTCCTGATTTCAGAGTTTGATGCATATACACGTCTTAGACCATCTGTCAGATCTAGATGGAGTAGTTGTGGGCTGGTGTCAGGATCTTGGAGACTGGAGACTGCTACCAAGGAAGTGCCTCGGATCAATCAGATTGTGGATATTGTCTAGACTTTCTACTCCGTACCGAGCAGGTCAGTGATCAGGCCATATGCCTGGGAAAAAAATCCCCAAAAAAAACCTTAGATATGATAAGTAGGACCCCTTGCCCCAGTTGCTCAAATTATCTGGCATAATTCCACCGTGAGCAATCTCTCTGCACATGTAGCAGCTCTTGGGGTGACAGAAGCAAAGCTGAGCACGGCATGACTGCGTATACCTGAGGCATCGATCCCGACCCGTCACATATTTCCAGGCCAATCAGAATTTCACCTCTTTGACGACCTCCACCGCGGTCTGCAAATCAACCCCATTCAAGCTTGATGCTACAGAAGTCGTGCGACGAATTCCATTCGGAAGTAGAAGTGCGCGTTATCTGTGTCAAGTCAGGTCGGTCTCCTCTCTGCTGGCGATGATTATGGAATTGGTCTCGCTTTCGACTCTGCATCGCCATGGAAAGCACCAACCGTGCCCGGCAGTCTCCGCCAAATCTGTCTATCAGTGGGCCAGGCACAGCGCAGGGTCCTGACGTCGCAGATGGTGCCCAACTGGACCCTGCGGAGGCGGGATCGAACAATGTAACATCACAAAGAGTTCCCAAAAAGCGTACCAAAACAGGATGTTTAAGTGAGTGCAACTGGCCGTAAATCACGTCCCATGCATTAACATCGCTAAATAGCTTGCCGCAAACGTCGCATCAAGTGCGGCGAAGAAAAGCCGACATGCCATAATTGCGTGAAATCAAAACGCGACTGTCAAGGCTACGGGCCCCGCCTGATTTTCAAGAACCCATTGGGCATCTCAGGTCCCGGGTTTGGCCAGCAGCCGGCCTTCAGCGTGCAGACACAGTCAGCACCAGTCCCAAGTGAGCACTCGGTTTCTCAGCAAAGAAAGGACAGACCAGATCAGCCTGCTATAGCTCCAAAGCTGTCTTTGCCACCCGATGCAGAGACCCGGAATCCAACCGCTACCCTCTCACTGAACGAGGCTCCTGGGATCAGCAGGACTCCTCCTCAGCCAGCAGTCTCAGGAGAGGTCCACCTTCCTTCGAGTTCGGAGAACTCGTCCGAAAGCTATACACCACCGGACACCCTCGCGTTCCTTGATCACCAAAGACGGCAGCTGTCGACTGATCTGGGGGCAGGTTACTCATGGTCGGACGCTGTCTCATATTCTCAAGGAGGCCCTTGGCTGCCAAATACCGCACCGTCTGGTGTGAATCTACTGCAAGACCAAGTTAGAACAGCTTCGTCTGCGCATGTGCCTCTCTCGCAGTCATCAACATCGCCGTATGGAGATTATATGGAAGATGACGGTGAGGATGAATACTACAGTGGTGAATCAGAGGGGGAACGGGAAGACCAGATCTCCGTGCAAAACTACAACCAGCTTAGCCTTATTATGGCATCTGCCAATCGCGACGAGCGGCAGCTGCGTTCTTTCACTACATATTTGAATGAGCCAAATGTACTCGGCTCGTACATCCCCACATACGGCTCATCACCCTTGAACAATCCGAAGACGGCCCGAATCTTCCTGCATTTCATCCATTCCACCGGACCATCGCTATCTGTCTTCGAGCGTCATCCGATCGACCCATCCACCATGCTTGGCGCCCCCGTACCAACCGCCCAGCAGGGCCTATGGACATATACCCTCCCTCTTAAGGCTCTCGAGAGTCAAGTTTTGCTGCAAGCTATCCTCGCCTTGAGCAGCTTACATATCTCCTTCCTCCAACAAGCACCCCCAACGGTTTCGTTGAAGCATTATCACTACGCTCTGAGAAGAGTCGGTGTGGCTGTCGGGCTTCCCACGCGCCGCAAGCAGATCACCACCCTGGCTGCTACCCTGCTTCTAGGATATTACGAGGTGATGGGTGCTGATCACTCGAAATGGAACAGCCACGTGGCAGGATCGGCGCAACTGGTGCGTGAGATTGATTTTGCTGGCATGACTCGTGGGCTCCGCGCCCAGCGACGGAGAGTATGGGCTCAGCGACAGCAAATGCAGCCGCCGGTCATGGCACTCACAGACAGCTATCTTTTTGGAGATTCCACGTCGGACGACGACCCTTTCGCAGAGAAGGAAAGTAGCATCAACGAGCAGTTCATCGGGACTCTACTTGGACGAGCCGTAAACTACGACGAATTCGGGCAAATTAACGATGAGAGTGGGAACCCTCGTCAGTACAAGCACTTCACACGGAAAGATATCGAGAACTATCGAATCCAGTGTGACCTGTACTGGTGGTACTGCAAGCAAGATGTCATGCAAAGTATCATCAGCGGTTGCCCTTTGTTGTAAGTCATAAGACCCCTCCTCTCACTTATCTCGAGCTACGACACTGACCACAACCCAGCATGCCATACTCCCAATGGGGTCAATGCCCTCCCCGCGCGGGTATGGGCCGGCTGGACGCTATCTACGGGTCTGCAGACCACCTGTGGCTACTTCTAGGTCGCTTGGCAGAATTCGGCTATCGTGACAGGAAACGAAAACTGAGAACGGCTAAGACTACAGGCATGGAGTGGCGCCCGGATGCCAATCTGGGCAAATTCATGGCCCGGTTCGCCAGAGGACCACCCGGACCACCAGGCCGAGGACCACCTCCTGCTGGTGGCCCGGGGGGTCCTCCAGGACCATCTCCACCCGGTGCTGCAGATATGCGCCGTGGTGGTCCACCCACCGGCTCCGGCCCAAACGCCCCGCCCATGTACGGCATGGCACCGTCCAGCGGCCCACGCCGCGCCCCCGCCGTGTTCCTCAACACCCGGGATTCCCAGCACCACCACCATCAGCCTCTCGAAGAGGAAGAAGAGGATACCTCGTACCACGACGCCGAGAAGGAATGGGAGAGTATGGTGGCGGCGTTCGACGCATTCCTCCCGGCCCTAGGACCATACTTCATGCCTTTACCCGCGGACTCGGTGCCGCCGATCTCGACCCCGTTCGGCCCCGCCCTGCAGTACCGGACGCACACGATCGCCACGATCTGGTGCTTCTACTACACGGGGCGGATCCTCCTGCACCGGCTACACCCCTGCATGCCGCCGGCGATGATGGTCGCCGCGGGTGTGGCCGCCGCCACCACGGCGGAATACGCGCAGATCATCGGCCGCATCGCCGCGGGCGTCTACTACCCGCAGTCCTTCCACCTCGAGGCCGGCAGCCTGAGCCCGACGCTGGGCTCGTGCTTGATCGAGATCACGGTGCCGCTGTTTTTTGCGGGAGTCCAGTACACAGACCCCGCGCAGCGCGAGTGGCTGGTCACCGAGCTGCTGGACCTCAACCGGCTGAGCGGCTGGCGCACCTCGGACGCGATCGCGCGCGGCTGCGAGAATGCGTGGGTCGTCGCCGCCACGCAGGGCCGCGGGCCGCCGTACACTCGTCGCGATAGGACTCTCAACAAGCCGGTGTCCATGTGGACCCCGCCCCCGGAGGAGGAGAGCGGCGGCGGTGGCGGCGGTGGACCGTACAACAGCTCCGAACGCCGGTTCGTCACGGTCAGCAAGCGGCCGAACGCGAATTGGGCGATGGGCATCCTGAGTCTCGAGGATGATATTCTGAACTTGGATATCAATGATCGGACGTGATCCGTTTGTTGTCGTGCTTGCTGACAGGACGCAGCGCAGCCAAAAGGTGATGTGGACGGACCTGTTCAGATGGGTAATACCTCCCCCCCGAACCTTTATCGGCGATCCACCATAGGAAAACCCACTAGGCAGTTTCTCTCTAACCGCAGTTCAAATTACCTGAAAGTACTGTACTGTGTCAAAGTATCTTAGAGGCTCTCCCTCGCCGAATCTAAGAGGGGTGTCTCTCCGCCTCCGGGTTTCTATGGCCATCCCTCGCTATGACTGGGGTTCACATAATGGGTCAAAGCCCTCAGGCCTCTGTGAATATGCCATTGCGAGTGCCTTTCTTCGCCCTCCCCTACGGCATAGTAGAGGGAACGCAATCGATGATCTCAGATTCGCTTTCTAGAATCCCTCAAAAGCCTTCTTCATAATGCGAATACTGAATATCACCCTTTAATTCCCTGGCACATGCCTTGTGCATGTGTTTTGTATTCCATCTGTACAGGGGATTCTAGATGCGATTGCTTGTGGTTGGCTTATGTCACTGAACAAGACCGAATGTGGGCAAGGGAGGTAGGGGGAGATTGATCTAACTGTGATGCTGCGTAACATACAATCTGACTCAGAAATATACCGTACGAGCTTGACCAAGCACGGGAAATCTTTGAGTAATATTGCTTAAATGGCATTACTTCCTCTCAGGATTCCAGTAGATTCTCGTTAGTATACAATCCTTAAATGACATATATAATTCTAAATATCAAAAATACACATCTGGAAACAAAATCTATACCACAGAACCACAGCAACAAAACCGGATCACCTAGCCTCCACATCCGCATCCGCATTCGCTGCAGCAGCAGGCAATAGCCTTCGAACTCGGCGGCTTGACACTCCTCCACCGGACTCCCAGCGAGAGCAGAAAGGCCAGAGCGGCAAAGCTCGCAGCGACGTAGAAGGTGGTGGTGAGCGCGTGGTTGTAGGCATGCAGCACGCCGGACAAATAACTGTAGGGAACCACGCTGCGCACTTCCGCAAATCCGGCGCTGACAATGCGCTCGACTTCCGCGGCGGGCAGCCCGAGATCCCCCAGACCCGTGACTAGCTTGTTGTCGAAGAGGGCCTCGGCGATGGCGAGGTTGACGGCGGCACCGAAGAACTGGAAGCACTGGAGCAGGGAGGTGCCGACGGGTACGTCGGCGGGGTAGAGGACGGTCTGCGTGGCGACGTAGGGCATGGACAGGGTCATGCCGGCGCCGAGGCCCTGGAGGACCTGGAAGGGGATCCAGTGCTCGTGCGAGGTGGTGAGGATAAAGGTCGAGAAAAGGCCCGTGGCGATGTTCATCAGCGCCGTGCCGAGCAGCAGGTAGGGGTTCGGGTACCCCAGGTACTTGAGGGAGGCGCCCGTGAGCGTGGCGGAGAGCACGTCCGACAGGGCCAGGGGCAGATACATCAGGCCCGACTTGGTCGGGGAGGCGCCCTTGATGACTTGGAACCATTCGGGAAGATAGTAGATCGAGATGTAGACGGCGCCCATGGCGCAGAATTCCCCGAGGCAGCAGAAAAGCATGGTGCGTTCTGTCATCAGGCGCGGGGGGGTCATGGCCCCGTCGCCCTTGTAGACCTGCCAGCAGGCAAAGACTAGGCCGAGCCCTGCGCCGCCGATGAAGAGTCCGATGATGGTGGCGCTCTTCCACGCGTAGGAGGTTCCGCCCCACTGGAGGGCCAGGAGTATCATGATTATGGACGGAGCGAAGAGCAAAGCACCGATCAGATCTAAGCTCTTCAGTCGATGCAGGATAGGAGAAGTTGTAGAGGAGTCACGCGGGGGCGGCTTGAAGGAGAAGACCAGGGCCACGATGGTGATGGCGCCAATGGGTAGGTTGATCCAGAAACACCACCGCCATGTCGCGTGCTACGTGAAGGCACCGCCTAGGATAGGTCCGATGATGGTCGCGATGCCGAACGTCGACTGAAGGATTCCCACGTAGAAGGGGCGCTTGGCAAGCGGGAGAGCTGCCGCGACGATGCAAAAGGCTCCCGTGAAGCATCCGGCTGCCCCAGCTCCGGCGATCGCGCGCCCGACAATGAGCATTGGACTGTTCACAGCCAGGGCACACAGCAGTGAACCAAGCTCAAACACGGCCAAACACCCAAGGAACATCCCCTGCACCGGTCAGTGGGGCTCTACCATTGAGTGTTCAGTGGACTTACCTTCATGGGAAAGCTTGCAAACAGCTTGCCGGCAATGGGCTGCAGAGCGCACATGGCGAAGGAGTATGCACTTCCATACCAGCCTATGTCCCCGGTGCTGTTGAACTGGGATGTGATGCGGGAGATGGCAGTTGCAATGATCGACGAGTCCAACGACATGAGGAAGATGGCGAGACCAAGGCCAAGAATGACCAGAGCCAACGGTAGGCCGGTCAGCTCAAAGTCGGGAGCCTGAGTGGTATCGTCCTCCGGGGAGGCATTGATCTCGACAGCAGACGCGCTGTTGGTCTTGGGCCAGGGTGCGTCTTTCGGAAGTCGTTTCTCAGCCATTCCTCCCAGGGGCAAGTTCGATGCGGACGTGTTTGATGATGAGAGAATCCATCTTGAGACGGCGGAAGACAACACCATATAGAGAGGGCAGGAGAGATGCCAAGCCGAGAATTCTGGACATAAGTCATGAATCAACATGGCTCATCATGGCTCAACCCGTTTTGAACCAACGATGCAGTAACTTTTACCCCTGTAAAGATCAGTGTCAAATAATGAAAAAGTAGGGTTGTTGACGGAAATTTCCCAATACTCACCGGACATATCAAAAGATCTCCGACGCTAAGAGGAGAAGCTGAGAATCTGTATGGGTGTTGTTGTTGCAGGGTGGAGTCGGAGAAGATGGGAGATGAGATGGAGATGGAGAGTGGGCGGGGTGGAGCGCTGGAGCAGCGCACGGCCCACCGGAATTGACTCCTGGCATCCATCATCATCTCAATTCAATCCTCCTCCTCCTAACCCAAGAACCACCATCGCAACAATGACCTTATGACCTGACCTAAACCCCACCATCTCACCCCCAACTCCAATCTCCATCTACACAGCACAGCACAGCACAGCACAGCACAGCAAAGATGCCAACCACCACGATCTCCCCGCGCCTCCTCCCGACGCTCTTCGCCTCGCTCGCCCGCACGCCCACCTGGACCCTCCGCCGCACCCTCCAAAGCGACAACCCCCTCGACCTCCACGGCGACCTCCACGGCGAAGCCTCCTTCCAACCCCTCCCAGCCCCGCCTTTTGCCTCCACACCCACCGAAGACCCCCAACCCCAGACCCAAACCCAAACCCTCTACACCGAATCCGGCTCCCTCCCCGCAACCCTCGGCCCAAACCTCCGCTGGACGAAGTCCTACATCTGGCGCCTCGGCCCGGAAGGCCGGATCAGCGTGTGGTTTGTCAAGGTCACCAAGGACGCAGCCACGCACCCCGAGGCCGATTACCTGTTCCATGAGGTGGAGTTTGAGGTGGCGGTTGACGGTGCGGATGCTGCTGCCGCCAACACCGGCGGCAGCAGCAGCAGCAGCGGCACCAACGAGACATACGTGACGCCTCCTATACCACCCAAACCACCGTCCGAGGCGGAGGCGACGGTGGTCGTCACGGCCAGGGGCAATCATCTCTGCATCAAGGATATGTATCGCACGGCGTATGCGTTTCGGGTGCGGGCGGAGAGTGGGGAGGTGGTTAGCTGGGCGAGTCGGCATATGGTCAAGGGGCCGAGGAAGGATCAGGATATTGTGAATTTGTATTCGGTAGGGTAGGGGTAGGGGTGAGGTTTACGATGGGTTGGAGAATGTGGGGTTCGAGGGGGCGAGGGGGGAGGGAGGAGAGAGGAGGGGTAGAGAGGATAGAGGATAGAGGATACAGGATAGAAAGGGCAAGTCTGCTTTGGAACTCGGTTTTGTAGAATGGGTCTGGGTTCAGGCTTCCTTTTGGGTGGCATTTATGGGTACGGTAGCTGCGGGTCGTGCTTCATTGCTGAGGGTGGTCGTGATGGGGTTTGCCTCGGTTTGAGAGGCATTTATGTGACGGGTTGTCTCCGCGGCTTCGAGCAGCCTCAATCGGTTAAGCTTTCCTCGTTCACGGCGGCCTTGATACTCTTCTCGTGCCTAGACAGTGCTAAATCCGGAAGAAAAGAAGGGATGTCAGATATTAGGGGAAACATCATCTCCCTCTTACCGGTCTGAGCTGTCTACCTCCCTGACCGTCTACGGCACTAAAGGTCCTGCTCATCATCAAGCGAAGATGTATTGTCCCGATCTGAAATACACGCTAAATCCCAGCAGCCTTCTTCTCCCCTGCGAAATCTTGGACGGTTGCTCAACTTCCCTCGTCACAAACACAGCTCCCCAGAAAACATGCAGCAGCATCCCCTCGCTTCTAGTCCCAGATCCCGATCCGAGGGTTCTTAGGGCGAACAGCCTTGACGAACTCCCACTGACACTCATCGAACTTGGCATGGCCTCTGAGAAGAACATACGCCGCCGCAGCCGCCTTGATGGAGCAGAAGCGCAGCTGGCTCTCACCGGCCCCCGGCCCATCACGGATGCTTTCGATCTGCGGAACCAGATACACGTTGCTCAAGGCACGGCAGATATCCCCCTTCAGCGACGCCCGGAGGTTAGTGATGCGGATGCACCGGGTGTATCCCTTCTCGTAGATCAATTTCTCCATGTCCGCGCTGATGGGGTAGCTGGGGGTGGGGATCGGCGCGACCTGGGCCTGCCCGGACTTCAGCTGAAGGACGCCTTTTGTGGAGTGCAGGAAGCCCACTGCGTCGGCCTGGTGCACGAAGGTGACGAAGGCGGTCTTGGACCCGGTGATGGTGCGGGTGTCGAGCAGGCGGGCGGAGAGGATCTCCCCCGGGATCAGGGGTAGGATCTGCGAGAGCCCGGCCCCGGACGGCAGGCTGTCGACCTTGATGGCGCGGTACACGTTGTGCTCGAAGTCGGCGGGGATGTAGCGCAGGCCGAACTGGAACACCCAGAGCTTCGAGTGCGACTCCCGGTTGAAGGTGTTGGACAGGTTGACCCGTGCGCGGCGCTCCTCTTCCGAGTCCTTGAAGACGGTGGCTCCATTCATGGCCCAGTTGATCTTTCCGTCCCACGGAACGAGCTGCGATGCGGTGGCGGCGGCGGTGGCGGTCATGGTGACGGGAGCAGCAGAAGGACGTGTCTGTAGAGACATACAGGCATGTTAGCTTGTGGCACACGGGAGATGTAGCTGCTGAGCTGCGCAGCATGGAGACACGCACCAAGTGAGCCGGGGCTGGAGTGATTGTGAGCTCGCGGTCAACATGAGCTTCGAGAGCAGAGCTCGGGTGGTTGACTCTCTTGGGCAGAATCACCTGTGAGCAAGGCAACGGCACAAGGCTGGGGACATGGATGTCGTCCAGCCGACTGTCAAGGATACAGGTATCATGCTCGTGTTGTGGCCGCTCGAACGTGGCCTGCAAATCCGGGTGCGGCGGGTCCATCCTTTGAATGGAGGAGTGAATGACGCCCCGCTCACTGTGAGCTGAGGCTGGGAAGCAATTAACTGCCGAGCATGAAACTGCCAATGACAAAAGACGATGTAGGAGTAAACAGAGAACAATCACCATAGAGAGTAGAAGCGCTAGCACCAACTCGCTATACCCTTTCGGGCTGCAATAGAAGTGTAGCTGTTTGGTGCAGCCTTCCATTTTGAGCGATTCTTTGGACCAAGAGCCCTGAGCGAGTGCAGTGTTGTGCTTCCAGTGCGGTGAGCGGTGCAGTTGCTTCTTGTTTGGGAGATAGCACAGTTCAGTGAACAAGTAATTGGTGACCAGATCGGTTACCAAGAAGGCTTTTATACTATAACTAGAAAGCCCAGATATACGTGTTTAGTTACTTGAAAAGAGACTCGCGTTAAAGGGACGAGAGAGCTTTGGGTGACGTTGGGGTAAGCCCAAACGGAGCAAAACAATAGATTACTGGCATACAAGAACGCTGGAAACGATACTGATGAAGGTGATACTCCTTCATACTTGGAAAATTTGACACCTTGAAACTATAGAAGTACAGCCCTAATCGGTTACATGTATGTACCAAGAGAATTTCAACGCGGAGCCGGTCAGCCACCAAAGGCGCATAGTCAATTTCATGCATAACCTCAAAAAGATAGAGAAGATGAACAGTAGTGCTCGTAGAAAGTACGTCTAAAGCATGTGGAATACTTTGCTGAACCTTACTTTAAAACAGGACAGAGTCAGATCGATCATCCGAGAAATTCTCCTTCAGCCAGCGCAATCCACGGAAGGCCCTCGTCCCAGCAGCGCTGCATTAACTTGCGCGCATTCTGGATCTATAGATGTAAGAGTTAGTGCATCATCTCGGCACAACATCCGGTTAGCTCACCTGTTTCATTCCAGTTCTTTCCATCATTTTAAACCGCTCCTGAATATCTGCCCTAATATGAGGGTCCGTGGTCTCACACCCAGCGGTAAACAGAGGGAACAACGCGCCCACTTCGGCAGAGGCGCCGTGTCTGATCTCGACCATTGCCTTCAGGAGCTCGTCCGAGGCATGTTTGGCCGGCTCAGAGAGAGGCGATGTGTCAAGCACACGACGATGGAGATGTAAAAGTCCGGCATATCGAAACGCCCTGTCGATAGCAAGGCTGTCCATATTACCGAGATGAAAATGGGTGCCGTTGGCATGGGCGTGGGTTTCCAACAGCTCAATGTCCGCCAGAAGTTCTTCGCCGGCAACGACTGCAGCAGGAGAAGGTTTCCAGTCTGGCTTCAAGATGCCCGACTCATCGAACCGTTCATGGTCACACTGGTGAGTCAGTCTCCCGACTTGCGCGAGAAACTGGCCTGTCCTCGGTGTGAACCCGGTGAAACAGTCGATGTGAAACTCGTCATACTCCCCGACACCACTGCAAGCGCTGAGAACGGATGCATAATCCAGCGAGGGCGGTTCGCTGTGACGACATGACAATGTTCCAACAATGTCAAGGTAGCTCAACCAGCGAGTCAGGAACGCACCCACAAGGTTTCCCGGGTAAGCCATCTGCTCCTTCCGAGCGAAAAACAAGTCTCGTGCAAGTTTGAGGTGGCTCTGCCATGGAATTGGGACTTCAAAAGTACTGGGCGAGACAATCTTCAACGACAGGAGCATTATAGCAGCAGCAAGGTGGTTATCGGTGACCTTTTCGTGAGGGTCCTCCAGGGCTAAGCGTAGTGTTGGGAAGACATTGCTCACCCAATGCGCAATCCGATTTGCCGGCTCCGGGTGCTCGAGGTATCTAGCCCGATGGCTAGCTGAGTATGCCAGCGTCAAATTAAGCAGATTCGAGTCACTAATCGCCACTTTTGGTCGAGTCAGACGAGAAACTTGAATAGTGCAGACAAATCGAAGACTTACTTGTCGGCAGTACGGATATGAATGGATTATCGTCACAATCATGCGGAACCAGCATCTTGGCCGTATGATTTAGAAAATGATGAAAGTACATCAGATTGATTGGTGTTTTGACCAGCGATGGTGGCAGCGGAGACAAATAGCGTGGGATGTTGATCGGTACAGGCGAAGCATAATACATGTATTTGCTGCAATCGAAAGTGTCGTTTTCCACGCCTTCCAAGTTGCCGCCTCGAGGGGTGGACCCTGGGGGGGTGATTCTCTGTGCGTTGATCAAGTCAAGAGCATAGTTGATGTCAATGGCGGAGTGATCATCATTCCTATTCAAATCCAGATCAGGACGACCGCGATCCAAGCCGTAGTTGTCTGTAACGCTTGTGAGATAGGCTTGCCATTTTTTCTCGGCGCTCAAGGCATCCGTTGCGACCATACTTTGACTGGAGGTGTCGGGATATTGATGCAGGCGCGTGCTTGAGCCAGGCATCTGCGCGCCATTGAAATTGCGGTCCGAGGCTATTGGACGGTTCATGATCTTGGTGAGGTAGCTCTCCGAGCGAACGGATGGCTGTGCCTCTAGAGGTTGGGCTCCTTCGCTCGCGTCCAATGACGACATGGCGGATTCTTCTGCGTATGGTGAGTCTGAGCAGCCCAGGCCTGATGTCTTTTGAACGTAGTTGTCATAAGTGCTTTTTGCGTTGGCCGCGGAAAAATAGCTGTTGAGCTCAATGCCATGATCGGACATCCGATTATTTGTGGGTGTCGCATGATGTGATTCGGAGGTGTGCCGGAGAAACGAAATCGGACGCGATAGAGCCGTGACAGGCGAGAAACTCAAGGTGGCCCAAGAGCCTATACTGGAATTCGTGCCCACAGGAGACGGATGAGAGACGATGGTTTCCAGGGATGTTGGAGCGGAGGCAGAAAAGACGGTCGCGGTGCTGGTTTGGGGCAGGTCTGGCCATGGGGATGTCCCATCCTGTCGGGGTGACAGAGCCCTCATGCTGTCTACAGAGTTCTTGCCATTTGTACGGTTGGAGCTATAAAGAGTCTGGCCAAAGATTGGAGATTCATGGATATCATGTAGCCCTCTAGGATAAGCTGCCGGAGTCCCTATTGCCATCTCTTCGGAAAGCTCGACGTCCCATTGCAATTCCTCTGTGGCTGGAAATTGTGCTGTGTTCTCGGACTCTGGAGATGTGGCTTTGTGTGAGTGCGAGGACGATAAATTGTCGGACTGATAGGTATTCGCCGGTGATAGTGAGAACGAGCCATAGGTTCCTGAAGGACTGCTCGAATGCGATATCGGAGAGTCTACTGATGACTTTCTTCTAGTTCTTCCTCCCCAGTTCAGTCTGATGCGGTAGTCACACAATTCATTCTGGCGTTGGCAATTGAGACACGACGGTTTTTCCTCACCACTGTAAAAACGATCAGCTTACGATAGTACTTTGAACTAAGTAACTAAGTGAGAGAAGGTAACACAAACCACTTCACTTTGCGTGCTTTACAAGGCCTGGAAACATGCACGATTAGTCAAATCCAGCAGTGGAAAAGATCGCTTTGGAGACCCTCACCAGCAGCCCTTGCGCGACCTTCGTTTCGGCTCGGGGGCCCCGGGCCTTCTCGGTCGAGGCATTGAGGTTCAGATCCGATCTGGCTGAGGGAATATTTCCAGCAAAAGAAATCCACGACCAGGGGAGCTAATGGCCGGGATCTTGAAATAGCTTCGGATCGATCTGCACAATAAGATCGCCATGCAGACAACGTAGTCGAAAAACACTTTCTTCTTGCTAGAGTCTGGAGATGAGTCCCAATGGGGGTGTTTCTGGTGCGTTGATGTAGGGTGTTTGACCCAGGATGCTAAGAAACGATAATCAAGAAGACACCCACACCCGCTCTTCGTCATCGAGGTGTGGGACGAACTAGCTGCGGATTTGTTCTAGAAGCGATGCTTTGTTATTCTTCTGTCTATAGATCGAGATGCGTAGGGCTAGAATGCTCGTGACGGTTTGGAGGGGACCGGAGAAGCAGGAGAGAGAAAAGAGGAGGTGAATGAGTGAACTCAATGAATGGGGATTGTTGCAGTCAAGCCTAGCCTTGGTTAGTACGGGGGAGTTGACTAGGAAGGGGACTCATTCGTTATCCATCACCAAAGTATACCTTAGGTTTAGTGTATATCCACCCGGAGTGCGTAGACCAGTCAATCAGCCAGATAACCTGCCGATAACCACAGTCATCGGCTTTCTCCGTCAATCAGAGAAGGGCAGATAAGACTGGCTGGAATTCCACTGTTAGGTTACCTTAGTTTATTCAGTGACAATTGTTCCGGGAGGTTTCTCCGAGCAGGCAGCGCCACAACTTACCTTAGTTATGTCAGTCGGTCAGTCCGTCGGGTGAGAATCCCACTAGCCTGCTTTAGGTTGTGCTGGCCCGGGAAACCCGGGGAAGCAGCCTGAGTCTGGAGCTGTGATATCATCATACCTTACTGACTGAGTGGATTACTGAGTATCATTCCACTCCCTGTCAACTCCCTGTCAATCATATCAACCTAAATCTTTTTCTGATTTATTCTAGAGCATATCTCCTGACTCAAACCTTCGATCTTCTAGACCCTTGGCATTATGGGTTCCTCAGACATCGCTGAAACGCTTCAAAGAAAGCATCCTTTACAACGTATGGCCAGCCCTTCCAGAGGGTTCTCAGCTCTGGTCCATGTACGTCTAAACCTCCATCTCCATTCTTTTCAGTACGGTTCCATGGACTGTCTCACTAACCATCTCCCTCCACCACTGTTAAGCTTCTGGGTCTCACTAGCTTTATATGGTCATTCAAGTAGTATGTGCTTACTGATCCTGAGCTGTGCTGTGCGCCTGAGGTCATTTTGGTTCAGCTGCTAACCAATCAATCTCTTAGTATGCACGATAATCCCAATCACGCGTCAGTCTTTCCCCCGGATCCATGGCCTCGGGAGCCGAGTATGTCGATGCTTATCTTTGCGACTGATAGGAACGAAGCATATGGCTGGCATTTTCAAGTACGTGGTTGCTAGCACCAGTCGTCATCGGTTTCTGACTTCTCTCCTTATCAGTACCTCACCGTGCTAGGCCTCTCCCTGTCTCTTGTCACTATGGCCTGTGGCCTTATCGCAGATGTGACTCTATCACCCCGCCTTTTTCTCGTCAAGAACCTCCTCTCGATGTGCTGTACGCCATTGGAGGTGCTGATTAGTATTTTATACTGGGGTCTTCGCTTGGTCAGTACTCGACCCTGTCGCCCCTGCTCTTCGTGTCTCTGATATACTGCTTCCAGATTGACAAGCGTCTTGTCGTTCCTGACTGGGCTATCATTCCCTTGAATGCTGGTGAGTCTCAAAGATCGTACAGCACAGACTCCCGTTATCGTTAACACCCCTGGAAATTCAGACATAAGCTTCCATGCCGCCCCGTCAGTGATCCTTCTGATAGATCTCCTGCTTTTGTCACCACCATGGACCATTACTATTCTTCCCTCATTGTGGTTATCCAGCACTATTGCGATAGGGTATTGGTTTTGGATCGAACGGTGCTTTTCATACAACGGAATGTATGTGATCTTGCAGTCTCGGAGCCGAATCCCTCCACTCATATGTCTCCAGATATCCTTATCCGATTTTTGAGGTGGCGGGTTTCGAAGGTCGCATTGGGATCTTTGCTATTAGCGCAGTGGTAATGGCGCTGAGTACTGGCACCCTGAAGTGGTTGTACGGACGTGTCAACGGCTTTGGAACGAGCAAGCCCCAGTCTCGCCCGGGTGCCATCAAGCAGAACGGCCACTTCTAGCGCACTTGCTCATTTACCAGGATTGGGTGGCACATGGTAGCGGTTGGATTGGACACTATTGTCTTGGAAAGCGGACGGTATAGACTTATAGTACAGCGTTGGTGAAGCTTTCTAGAGTATGAGCTGTGATTTGGCATTATCTCATAGACATACATAATTATAGAATTTTTGGACCTGAACAAATCAAGCCAATCTGGAAATATAGTAGCCAGCGACTTATTTTCTCAGACCATAGCCGGCGTAATAAAGTGAAAGAATCTCAGGTTAGAGTGTACCTCATAACCTCAGTTGCAGCAACTATTCATTCTCTTTCTGCAGTGACCGACCCGAGGCAGTGACCTCATGCAGCCGCCGCTTATCTAATCCGCGCATCTTTCTCCGCCGAACCTGATCCAACTCGTCTACCTATCATCGACAACCAGCTTTGTCTTCTTCCTCACCATCCCCTCGACCCTCATCGACAACCATGCACAGCACCTCAATCTGCGGGATGCGCACCGCCGTCCTCGGCGGAAGCTTCTCCACCTCAACCTTGAGACCATTCGCACATGCCAACAGCAACCTCACGAGACAATTGTATCATGCGATCCCATCGGCCCGCACGGCCAGCACAGCGACGGCCAACAATGCCGCACGCACGCTGAAGACCTCGGCTGCTCGCCCGCAGAAGCCCGTTCCCTCGCTCTGTTCCGGTCCAGCCCCCCGCCGGGCCAAGTCCAACGCCGCCGCCTCGCCTGCCCCCTCCGGGCAGCAGCTCGTGCGGCTGGACTGGGACTCGTTCTTCAAGCTCCGTGCCAGCCGGCGTCGCTACACGCTGGCCTCGTCGGTCGTGACCTCGGCTTTCACCACGGTCCTGGGAATGCAGGTCCTCTCGTCGCAAGATCTGGAGTCCCTGGGCGCGCAGGTGATGGGTCTGGATCCGTTTGTGGTGCTGGGTATGGCGACTGCTGCGTGCGGTGCGGCGGGCTGGCTCCTTGGTCCTTTCGTAGGAAACTCGGTCTGGAGCTTGATCTACCGGAGATACAAGCCTTCCCTTCTACAGGTGAGCCTGGCTCCCGCTTTCTCACAACACTCCCCATGTTGTGACAGCCGCGCAAAATGATGAGGAAGATACTAATGATGGCAATCTCGAATCACAGAAAGAAAAGCAATTCTACGATCGCATCCGCCGATTCCGCGTCGACCCTTCGTCCAACTCCATCGCCAACCCTGTCCCCGACTACTACGGTGAGAAGATCGGCAGTGTCCAGGGCTACCGACAATGGCTGAAGGATCAGAGAGCGTACAACCGCAAGAGACGCCACTTCATCGCCTAATTGTTTATGAGCTATAGGTTTCTCTACTTTGCATACCGGGGCTACCTTTCCATGATTGGGCATTGTGTTGTTATATTTGGTTTCATCCTCCGTACGGGACTTCTCTTCGAGTCTGGTGGATTTGATTGTATGAATATTGAGTATCCGTGAGCGATTGAAATGGATTTCTTCTTCTTCTTCTACTACCTTCTTACTGCTAGCTTGCCTTGTCATTCTTACCTTGGCCCCCTTTCCCAAATGTCCAGCTCTGCTTCTGCTCTACTTTCTCTCATGAACAGCCTACAATTTAGACTCCCCCACAGCAGCCGGCTTCCGATCAACGTGCACCTCAGCCCACCAAGGATAATTCTCCGGTCCGTGTTCTTCCAGTGTCGCCCGAAAATTTGCCTTTCTCTTCTCCAAGAAAGCTCGAACCCCTTCTCTCTGGTCCCTAAACAAAGAAACAAAGGTCAGCTTATCATACCACACTCTCTCCATTCCCTCCCCGTGTCGGGATTGGGTAATTTGCGCGCCTGCTGCCTTCGTTGGGTGTGGTAGCCGTTTCTCAGATTCCCTCTCCGGGATCGAACCCTCCCCTTTCCTCTTTTCCCCCACAACCTTTGAAGGAACCAAGCCAAGAACAGGGAAGCCACATACTCCGAAGCAAACATATGCGCCAGGACACTCGAATCCAGAAGATGCGCCTCCTCCGCCGAGTGGGGACCCCGCCACATCAGCGCGCGATTTAACACCGCCGCCATCGGACTGACGTTCGACGCGATTTCGTTCGCCAGCGCGAGCGCCCGCTCCCGCACCTGATCCCGCTGCGGGAAGGTCTCGGCGAAGAGGCCGTCGAAATGCGGCGCGGTCGGGGGGAAGACCTGCCCCGTGGCGACGAGGTAAATGGCCCGCGAGTAGCCGATCAGTCGGGGCAGAAAGTAGGCGGAGCAGGATTCCATGGTGATGCCGCGGCGGGCGAAGACGAAGCCGTATTTGCTGTCTTGGTGGGCAATTCTTTTCCTAATGTTAGTGGGTTTGGGGGGAAGGGGGGGGTCGGGGGGGTCGGGGGGGTTTTCTCGTGGGTTTACCTAATGGTAGCAGGAAGAGTCATGGTCATGCCGACGCCCACGGCGGAGCCTTGCATAGCGGCGATGGTGGTCTTGCGGCATCGGTGGATGGCGAGGGCGACTCTACCGCCGCTGGTGGGGTGTTAGTGGTTGTGTCTGCCATTCGATCAAAGGTCATGGGTAGGGTGATTACCTATCACGATGATCAATCGGCCTCTCCTGCTTGTTGTCAGGGAACCCAATGTCCAGGTCGGCGCCCGCGCAGAAGGTATCGCCTGCACCGGTCAGGACGATGACCTTGACGCGCTCGTCGCGGTCGAGGGTCGTGAAGGCCCATTCCAGCTCCGTGGCCATGGTGCCCGTGAACGCATTGCGCTTCTCGGGTCTGTTCAGCGAGACGAGGATGACGGGGGTTGCGGTGGGTGAGCCGGCCGGGTGGTGCGAGAGCTTGATGTGCTGCGTGGGTTGGGTCTCGTAGGACGTGGGGATGGTGATGGTGGTTGCCATTTTGGTGTTGGTTGGATGGTTACAGACTTGAAGATCAACAGGCTCTTTTCTGATTTCTTTGTATACTGAAGCAATGCGTATCTAGTTACTGGAAATGATGCTGGTGTTGTCATCCACCTATATCCTTATGGTTCATCTCCGAGTTAAGGTCAGGTATAGACGTTTTGCCTCGGCCAGATCGGTTAACTGTCTCCCGTACCCCGCAGCCAAGCATGGTGCTGTGATACAAATCTCTTTTACTGATATTCTCATCATGGGGGTACATTTGCTTTGAATGTATAGTCCTTAAGTTAATGGATTGGATGTGATGTCCATAGTCCTGAGTTATCCGCACATCCACGGGGTGTTGACTGGAGTGCCGAGGCAGTGGACCTTGGGTAAGGCTAGATCGCGATTACATTATCTGACATGTGGTTTGCACCGAACCATATCCTGGTCCTGGTAGGTAGTAACTTACTCCTTTTTAGACCATATCCCCGAACCAGAGCAATTGATGATCTTTTTCACTGTGACATCATCGAAGACCCCCCCTCAATTTGACACATGAGACATCCTGACCAAAGCAGAGAGTGGTGACCATGACTTGGGATTGATAAAAATAAAAGCTAAGCTTTTGCTCCCGTCCTTTTTTTAGCGACCGCCCATCGCCCCATCATTGGTCAGGTTGCAAATTTCACTGCCAGGTGCCCATATTGGGAGGGGCAAATGGAGCCTGGAGCCATCCGGGGGTCTTTGATTCAGGTGACTCCAATGGCCAATGCTCATATTGTATGAGTATGTCTGCACGGCCTCAATCCTTCTTCGTAAAGTGAACACCGCTGGCCCAGGGTAGAGTAGGAAATTCCTAATCGGGTAATTCCTGATCGTTTGGGGTGCTTGGTTGGGAAGGCTGAAGGCTGAGCTGGAGAAGTGTGGGTCAGGAACCGAGAATGAAAAGACACTCGGACGGTCGGTTCAAAACAAGTTGGAAAAGTCTTGGAAAGGTCTTGGAAATGGGAGTCTAACTCCACTGTCCAAAAAACACGAAGCTGGGCGAAGAAGGAAGAAAAACACGCCCGAGACAAGCACTAAACTAGGCGCTTATCAGGACTAGTGCTGCTTAAGCGATGGACGGACCCTGGCTTAGTCTGGCTGCTGTTGCTGTTGTGCTGCCAGTAGTTTACGAAACTAATCCCATTGTTGCTGCTGCTGCTTATCTGCAACATGACTGACTGACTGACTCTTCTTCCTCTTCCTCTTCCTTTTTATCTCTCTTCCATCCTCGCAATTCTCTCCCTTCCTCTGCAATTGTTTTTTTTTGTGTCCCTCGTTCTCGCGTTCTCGCTCTCTCCCACTTTTGTCGCCTTTAATATATATCCTGCTTCAATTCCCTCCTCTCCTCCCCCCCCCGGCGCCACCGTCTACTGACATCCCTCTCGTCGCTCCAATTCCTCCCAGCATGTGACCAATGGCTTTCCACCATTTCAACAGGAAGCAGAGGCTTCTGCTGATCGCCTACGCCATCCTCTTTTCATTCCTCCTCCTCCTTTGCCGCTTCTGGTCCCTCCGCGACCCGGGCTCCCTCTTCTTCGAATCCACCGAAGGCTATCGCCCCAAATACAGCCTGACTCGCATCCAGGAATCGCTCGACTACCTGTCCGTCTACAATCAGAGCGGCATCAGCTACCCCTACCCGCCCAGCGAATACCAGCCGCCGAAGGACAAGACCGCCTGCGTGGGGATCGTGACGGTGAAACGGCCCTTGCAGCAGAATCTCGGCACGACGGTCGCCTCGATCCAAGACACGCTGACGCCGGAGCAGCGGCGCGCGCTGAACATCCAGGTGCTGTTCGCGCTCAGCGACCCCGCCGACCACCCGGACTACAACCAGACGTGGCTGTCGACGATCGTGGACGAGGTGCTCACGTACGAGACGGTGGACGCGCCGCACGTGACTATCGCCCGCCTCGAGAAGCAGAAGGACATCAAGCGCAAGTCGCTGCTGGACTACCGCCTGGGGCTGCAGGCCTGCTACGACCGCAGCGACGCCCCCTGGATCATCATGCTGGAGGACGACGTGGTGGCCCAGCGCAACTGGTACGAGCACACCATGCAGAGCGTGCGCCGCATCGAGGACGGCCGCCAGCGCGGCCTCCTCCCCACGGACTGGCTGTACGTGCGCCTGTTCTACACGGAGAAGTTCCTGGGCTGGAACTCGGAGAGCTGGCCCGTCTACCTCTTCTGGAGCGCGTTGACCGTCGCCGCCGTCGCCTGGGTGGCCCTCGTCGCCCGCCGCAAGGTCCGTGCCACCCAGGGCGTGCTCACCAACCCTTTCCTCCTGGTGGTCTGCTTCCTCTGCGTTCCCGCCCTCATCGGCCTCTTCTTCATGACCGGCCGCGTCACCTGGTTTCCCATGGAGCCCGGCGTGCATGTCATGAACGCGCATGGCTGCTGCTCCCAGGCCCTGCTCTACAACCGGGCCCACGTGCCGGAACTCCTGCGGTACCTGGCCGAACGGGAGGATAAGGTCCCCACCAAGGCGGTGGACAGCGTCATCGAGATGCTGGCCGGGAAGGAAGGGCTGGACCGGTTGGCCATCTCCCCCTCGCAGATGCAGCATGTCGGCGCCGTCTCGTACAAGGAGAAGAAGAAGACGTGGAAGTGGGAAGGCCCGTATCGCGTCAAGGGCGCCCACGGCGTCTGGAGCATGGGCTTTGAGGAGGCATATACACGAGACTCGTATCGATGGTTTGATATGTGAATTTTCCAGAGCCACCTTCCCGCTGGGTGGAAGGTGTTCACCGACCAAAAAGCGTATGGGGATCCGGCAACTTTCCCCCATTCCGGAACTCAAGTGCAAGCACGGAGGAAGCGATCTTATAATGATATATGTGGGAATGACTTTTGCGTTTTTTCGATTCGACTTTCGAATGTTAATATGGAAATCAAGGACTTGTGTATATGATAGGGCTTACCGCATCGGGGTCACCATGTATGGCTTTTTTTTATTTTTATTATTATTTTTTTTGTGCCTCCAGCGATCTTTGTTCTTGTGATACTACTCGTGCAGTTTCCTAGATAGAGTACAGACCGAAATTTACATCCGGCTGGCATGACATGCATGCCGTGTTCAGCAAGAAGACGACGATGGTATGCATTTTCTAATTCAACTCGCATCCCTGCTTTCCACGGGTGATCCAAATGCATCTACGGCTGGATTTGAGCTGCGATCGAGCTACGGCGGGGGAGCGGGGGGTGTATAGTCTCCAAGGAGATAGGGCACCACACTGTAACTGATCACCACCATTACAGTACTCTGGCATAGCGCAATTCAGGCCTCATTCAGTCCATGCCCGTAGAAGACACCCAATACATATCTGTACCGGAACAGACAATCCTGTCCTGCCTATGAACTACTTAGTTCCAACTCGACTTCGGACTTAGATAATAGTCAACACAAGTCATTTGGACCCAAGCAGTAAGCTTGTTGGTGGTAGGTAATACTGGATACTAAAGGGATCCACTCAGACCTCGATCCAAAGCAGTAACCGGCTAGAAGGAGATCCGGAGATTTGGAAGGGTGCCTTGGGCAGTCTAGAAAGAAAGAAAGCGCGGGGGTGGACAGACATTAATTAATGCCCCCTGTACTTCTTGTCTCCGTACAACAATTCAACTAAGTATCACTATCGGGTCACCTGGAAGGCCTGGAATAGCAGTGAGGTAAGAGAAACCGAAACTCCCCGAGCAAAAAAATGAAAAAAAAATTATAAAAACAAAAGTCAAAAATCAAGAACTCAGTTGTATTGAGCGGGGGAGGGGGGGGAATCAAGACCCAACCTTACTTGACTTTGTCCATGTCGGTTGATTTAGAGATGGTAATAATGCCTAAGACATAACTACTGTACCTTATGACGGTAGGTACCGCTTGATTATCCTCGCGGGCAAGAAGCAAAATAGGCGCAGTAAAAGAAAGAAAGAAAGAAAGACGGAGCCGTTGCGGGCACTTCATTGCCAATTGCCCAAGAAAAAAAAAAAAACGGACGTCATTTGACCCCCGACGGGCAACTGCTGCTGCTGCTTCTTGGCTCTCATCGCATCATCCACCACCATTGATTTCATTTCTTCTCTTCTTCGAATTTCACTTCCCATTCTCTCGTGTTGTGTCTCACCGTTTCAATAATCAACGGCCTTGGTGGGGGCATATCTATCATCCTTCGTACACCCCTCTTCCTACCAGTTCGCCAGTTCGCCAGTTCGCCAACCGAAAGCTGTGTCGAGCGACCACCAGCAAACAACCCGTCCGGACAATTTCCATCTTCAACCTCCAACCGAGTCAAGTCGATCGCAACTTCTTTTCCCGTCTCGTGCAATTAATCTCTTGCTTTTCGCAAACAGCACGAATCGAGGCGCCTTGACTTTCTTTTCCCCTTGTCACCAATCTCATTATTTCCCACAATCTTCCACGGTATCGCCCGCTGCGGAAAAAAGTCATGGGCAGGAATATTTCTCATGGTCGCGGTGGCGCGGGTACGTCTCCTATCTCCCCTCCCCCAAAGACCCCACTCACTACTTCCTGCCCCGGTCATCGCCCCCTCAGGGACACTGGACACTGCAAGAAACCAAGAACCCGTTAGCTAAACCGTTTTCCCCCAAATTCCAACAGGGAACATCTTCTCCGGCACCGGCGAATCGCGCACCACCACCAAGGACCTCGTCACGCCGACCATCAAGCAAGATGTCTTCACCACCGGCCGCGGCGGCTCCGGCAACATGATGCAGAACGACCCGCAACATCCCGAACTGGCGCGCGAACTGCAGGACGTCGAGACCCCGCCGTTGCGCATGGAGGAGGCGCCGCATCATACCGGACGAGGTGGGGGTTTTTTTTTTTTCCAACCTTCTTCTTGCTCCTGATTCGTCTCTCTTTCTCTCTGTTTGCCCGATCACGGTCGAGATGGAAATGCCTCGTCGTCCCAAAAGCTAACCATCTCCATCTCCATCTCCCACAGGCGGCGTCGCAAACGCATATTTCCCCACCCCCGAAGAAGAGAAGCGCATGCGCGAACAAGGCGAGGCGCAGTTGGCGCGCGTCAAGACCCAGGAGGCCCAGCTGGCCCGCGTGAGAACCCAGTCCAAGGATCGCCGGAAGGATCTCGAGCACACGGCCGGGGCGGCGCATCCTCCTTCTCCTGCGGCGGCAGTGGCCTCGGGGGCTCTCAGCAGTAGCGAGAGTCGCCCGGCCAGCGAGGAGCGACAACCCTCGTCCAGTTGACTAGCACACGTTTGGAGTTGATTTCCCTCGGAACTTGATATGCTTGTCGTTGGCAGTCGGTATTTGGCAACTACTGGCGGACGAGAGCGCTGTGGGACAGGTAGCTCGCCTTGTCCCCGGTCGGGTTTTCTGGTTCTTCTCCAAACATGACTAGATATTTGGTAACCCTCGATGGTGGATGCTGGGGGTGGTATATTTGTGATTGACTAATGGGCAGCTTCAACTCTTTGTCAAGGAGGGGAGTTCGACAATATGCTGCGGGGATGGTGGTGGTGATGATAGTGATGGTGATGGTGTCAATGGCACAATGTCGCTGATGCTGCTGGTGATCCTGAAGAGGCCTCTCGGGGTCCTTATCTCCTTTCGACTCTTTGAATCTCTGCTCCCTTTTTCGCCATATGTTGGTGGAGAGGTTTTGCAAGGAGGCAGCAGCCGGTCCCCTTTTCCTTTTCCTTTCTTCTTTTTCGCCTTCTCACACATTATGTTATTTAATCAATACCCATGTAGACTTACGTCAAAACTAGGAAACAGGCGCCGGTGTATGGTTTTGGTCAATGTGTTTGTCTTGTTTTGTTGACTGGTTTTGTTCTGATCCGTTCGCAACAGCGGAGGATGGGTGGCTCTTTTTTTTTTTTTTTTTCCTTTTGTCCTGCCCATAATTCATGCATGCTTATCTTTTCACAAATAAAAAGATCATAGGTTCTGCAGCGCGTCGTCGGCCTTTTGTATGCCTCTCGCTTGTGATGGCACTAAAACGGAAACAAAAATATCTCCAATGAGAATGCACGGGCTTATCAGGAATAGCCTCCCCCCTCTCTCCTTCCCCTGCGGAATTCTCGTGAATTTATATCCTTTTATCCTTCTCCATCCCGTTCTGCCCAAGGATAAATAGAAACAAAACTACACCGGCACGGTACCGTAATTCGAGAACGAGGAATGTATCTTCTTATCACATGAATGTATGCATGCCGAGTGGTGGTCTTTCCTTCTATCCAAAAGAATATATTATAGATGATGCGGTCGCTATGATAGAACGAAGAAGGCCAAAATGTATGCTATAAGGAGTGCGCGCGGGGAGAAACCGGTGGAGGAAGGGCTAGTTAGTAGTGGTCAAGTAGCTAGGATCAACGCTATTCCATCTCAACAAAAACCCTACAAGGAAAAACTTCTTCGTATATGTGTCATGACCGTTCCGTTAAGATGTCCAGCACCCTGTATTCTATTTTGCGATTGAGCCCGTGTTGGGTTGGGGTGGGGACCTGGTCGGGGACAGGCTGGCTGTCATGGCGGGATCCAGTGGTGTTTTGTTCTCATGAACAGGGCGGTTCAGTTGAGGAGGAGTTGGAGGTTGAGAGCGCGTCGAGGATTCGAAACTCTGCTTCTAGGGGAATGTCGGCAGAACAAATGAATGATTCTGATCCCTGAATGAGCGGGGCTAGGTATTGGAATCCCAGAGTCGATCGCGGAAAGGAAGAGTAGCGCAGTGTTCAGTGTGGTAAGAGCCCACGCTAGTTGCTGAGAATCTGTACGCCCCCGAGACAGAGCGTGGATTTGCTGCGACTTTCCCATGCTGTGGGAAGTGCATGCGCTTCGCTGGTTGCAGCGTAGCAGATCGTGCGTAGTGCTATGGTGACATGCGTCGTGGAGTGAAGCGCGACTCAGGCGAACATCCGTGGTGGAGAGAGAAGCCGGGTGGGCTTGTTCAGACCGGAGGGATATAACAACCTGTGGCGTCAATGACCCAACTGATCGACTCTCTCCAGCCGGCATCCAGATGCTGGCCAATGTCGCGGATCAATCGAGTCCCCCATTCGCCAATCCACCAATGCCCTCGCAACGAGTGGATGATGACAGCGTAGTGGGCTAGAATCGCCAATGCAAACGGTTTTCGCTCCCGGACCAATTCCACATATCGCGACGGAATCCGGAATATCCACTGAAAGGCGATGATCATGGTCTCACCTCCTCGTGCGAGCTTGTCCAGGGAGAATCCGAGATGATTGATGGTCGCATCATACACATCCTTTTCGTGCGTCGGATCCTTGGTCGCTAAGTTAGTATTTCGCCTAGAGAGAGACATAATGGCCAGGCGCGAAGTATCCGGCATTTTAGGCTGCGAGTTGTCGTATTCTAGGAGAGCGCTGAACTCTCCATCCGCGACCCATTCGATGATCTCGCCCTGCACATCAATGGAGCCCCTGGTAAACTGGAAAATGTCCATAAGCGCATCCAAGGCGTTGGGTTGTGTGTTGGCGGTGGGAATTGGGTTTCCCTGGAAGGCGAACGCGAAGACAACCATGATGCTGGAGAGGGCAAACGCCGCGTTGCAATTGGACCGGTCTAGATGGTCGGCGACCTTGGCCAAGCCCGCAACGGCCTGTTGCTGATGACTCTTGGCGGTGCGCAGATATTCCTCTTTGCTGGCTCCAATGGTGGAGGAGGTGGAGGAGGCCAGATGTAGGGCTGACAGGGCCAAAATACCATGCATG